CTTCCAATTCCTGATATTCTGTGATTCTGTGTAGGACAGGGAAAGGCTTTTCTGCCAGCAAACCTGGCTACAGGGATCAAGAGGCAGCACCTTCAGTACTTCTTGAGAAACAGGGTCTCTTTCTGAGGAGATGTGCTACTTTATACCATTCTCAATCCCTTGTCTATGGATATTTTTACTCTAGTTTATCCAGAAAACTTCAGAAAAAGATTAAACTTTTGAAGTTCCGTTTCATGGCCAGTTACATGAGTAACTCACTTCTCTCATTAGCTGCACTTACAGTCTTGAATTTCTGCAAAAATTCTTTCGTTTACCATCCAAGCTAGGAGTAAAATCGCCAAGTAACCCAAGGTCATGCCAAATAAAGTATATCAGCCAGTTCCCTTCGGTACCCCTGACCACAGCATTAGCAGAGATGGTCATTTCAGTATTAATCCTTTCCATTCCCCACAGCATAGCAAAGGCCTTGGATCTTCAGAGGCATTTCAAGACCCCAGCTAGGAGGTTATCTGCTGGAGAAGCCAGAAAGGTACATGTTAGATTTGTGTTTGGTGTTTGAGCAAGTCCTGCTCTTTCTTCCTTCGACACGGTGCACAGAAAGCCTTCGATCAGGCTCCAGGATGCATTGGGTTCCTGGTGTCACTGAGAGCAGACTATGGGCCTCTTCTAACAGAGGAGCAGCCACAGCAGCGTGGGTTCCTGCCATGATTTGTTTCCATCAATAGCTTTTGAATCCATCCAAGCAGGATCCCCCTGCTCCTCTTTTCCCACTCTCCCGCATTGTGTGGTTAATAAATGCTAACCACAAACCGGATTTACAAGGCAAGCACCTCTTCATGCCCCACTATGTGCATCTGCCAGTGAATGGGATAGAAAACCACTTTCAGATCTTTGGCAGGCTTGGGAAACTGATTTTTGGGAGACTAAAATGTTAACTAAGAACACCTGAGGCGGTCTTGTCTGAACCCCTGTTTCTGCTGCATTTTGGCATCAAGAGCTTCAACTTCTAAAACATTCACAAGGATTAAGATGTAGCGGGACATCTCCCCAGTTTTGCAAGTAAAGTAAATGTAGACCTGACTTCAGTGTCTTTCCCATTTCAGCTGTGTTTTGCTCTGGGTGTCTTGGGAGATCCAACAGTGATGCTTTGGGACGAGCCATCAGTGGGCATGGACCTGCGAGGGCAGCGTCAGATGTGGTGAGCAGCCCCGTTTTGGCAGAACTGAGAAGTGTGAAACAGATTTAATAGGATGGGTCTTACCCTTCCTGGTGTAGTAACCATTGAGCAGGCAAAGGTTTCTGCCTCGGTGGCAGAGGACTTCTGTATTTTCATTTTTGCCTAATGGATAGGGGATGGGTAACGACTCACTAAACTTCTTACTCAGCAAGCAGTAAGCTCTTGCTAACCATTAGATGGAATCTTAATGATAGTGCACCAAAATTATGAGAGTAGGCTCCGGCTGAACCCATGCATTTGGTACCAAAGACAAAAATTTCTGTTTTCCTCTCAGTGTGAGAAAAAAGTTTTCATCACTTAGTTTGCTCTAGCTTTTTATCAGCATTTACCCTGAAAGTGTAAAATTTGGAGGGATGCTGACATGGCAAATTGCAACATAGCATTGACAATAACGTGTCTTCTTTAAGCAAAATAGCTGAAGTCTTTTAAATATTCATCCATGTTTTTATAATTTCATCATTTCAGTTGTTTTTTGGGGGAGGGGGACACAAACCAGGAGTTTTTTCTTTGTCTTTACTTGAGAAGTAACTGCAGTCCCTCTGTCTCCAGGAAAGTGATCCAGGCTGCCATGAAAGGCAGGGAGCGAGCAGCCGTCCTCAGCACGCAGTACCTGGAGGAGGCAGCGGCCGTGTGTGACCGAGTGGCCATCCTGGTGTCAGGGCAGCTACGGTGAGCACCAGGGTCGGCTTTTAGTCTGGGGTTTGGGGTTTTCTTTGGTTGATTTGTTTTTCCTTTTATTAATCTAATAGAAAATGTCCATTTGTTTTGTCCCACGTGTGTAATGAATATAGTTTAGTAAGGAGATATGAAGTGATGAATAAGAGGATGTACAACTGCTCTGCATATCCAGTGACTGCCTTATTTGCTGCTTATGGTGATTTAAACACTGTTTTCTCACCTCTGCAGATACATTGGTTCCCTTGAGGATCTGAAGAGTAAGTTTGGCACAAGTTACCACCTAGAAGTCAAAATGACAGACTTAGGGCAAAGTGATGCTCTCCACGCCGAAATTCTGCGCCTCTTCCCCCACGCAGCTCGACAGGAAAGGTCACTACCCCATAGCTAAACCCAGCCCCAGATAGTGCTGGGATGCTCTGTTGCTCCTACTGACTTTGCTCAATAATTCACTTGGGAGCACAGGAACTCTACAAGCACCCCCAAACCTTGGTGCCGAGTCATGAAATGATGAATTCGATTTTTTTTATTACTGTTTCAGGACTTCTTCTTTGCTTATCTACAAGCTACCAGTGGAAGATGCACTACCTCTCTCCCGGTCTTTCTCCAAGTTAGAAGCAGGTAAAAGGAAAAAAATTAATAAAGTAAGAAGATGGCTTTCAAATTGTTCGTATTGGATTGGTTTTTTAAGGATGCCTTCTCCATCCACCCGCAGCTAAACAGAATTTCAGGCTTGAGGAGTACAGCTTGTCATTGCACACTTTGCAGCAGGTACGGTGTTGTAGAAACTGCCTGTATAAAAAGAAGAAATGGCCTGTGACCAGTCTGAAAACCAGCAGACCTTGGCAATTTGGGTTATTTCTGTCATGTTGCAGGTGTTCATAGACCTCACCCGGGACCCAGAGGAATATGACCTGGATGCGGCACCCAGCGGGGCTATGGAGAGGAGACCACTTCACCCCTGAGCCCTTGGAGCCACAGAGGAAAATATTCAGAGTATTTCATCAGTGTTACTGATACATGTGGTTGGATGCAGCCCTAGGACTTGGTTATCTGTGTCGCATCACATTCAGCCCTGCACGTTTTCTAACTCACAAAGAAAAAAAAAGAATTATTATTTTAGTAAATAAAGCCTTTATCCTTTGACAAATCGATGCCTGCCATTCATCCATACTCCTGCTCTGACCAACCCGTGAAGATTTGCTGTGCTGAGGAATAACCCAGACAGAATGAATTGCTAGTCCCAAGGCAAGCACTGCGGCTGTGTGTGGCCAGCGGGGGTGGTGGTTTCTGATGTAGGGGTGCAAGGGAAGTGCTTTGGCCCAAAAAGCTGCTGTCATTGTGTGTTCCAGCTCAGGCCACCTTGGGCCATCTCTGATCCCCCACCACTGCAATCACCAAGAGAGGAAAGGACTCAGCAGGCCCTGGAAAATGTGCTGAAAACTGGCAGCTCTTAGGTCACCGTCTTTAAAAAAGCCTACTATTGTCTGGAGTCAAAATAAGATGTGCTTTGACCCAAAGTAGAGCTGGAGCAGAACAGGAGGCTGAACACGTCCTTTGGCCACAGCACTTCTGTCTGACTTGCTTTGGTGGTCAGGAAGATGGGGTGGGCTCCTCACTAGCACCCACCCTCTTGGGTGCTTGGGAGGGATGAGGACACTGGTGGGGAGATGGGGCAAGCACCAGGACCCTAAACCTGTCTGAAATCTGCCTGCCAGGGCTGGCTTTAAATAATAAATTTAAAAAAAAACCAACTAAATAAAATGGGAAAGGCTGGGCTGGGGACCTACTGGAGGACAGGGGCAGTGCCATCCTGTGAGACACAGCAGCAAGACCCTCACTCACGCCATGATCTCCCCTGGTTCACGTGGATGATGCTGGCAATGCAGGTATGGATGGTGCAGGTATGGGCAGTGCAGGCAAGGATGATGCAGATGGATGAGGTGGGCACAAACACACGTCAAGGCAATGCAGGCAGGGCTGCAGGCAGGCAGGTACCAGCAGTAGCTGCTGTGTCAGTGACGGGCTGCTCCTGCCAGGATAAGCCTCCAAAGCAGCCACCCCACACCCCTGAAAGCTGCTTTCCATATGGATTTCCATATACCAGTACCTGGTATACCCACTTCTCCACCTAAGGTTGTTTTTTTCCCTTTGCAATGAGGTGCTGAGAGAGGAAGAGAAGATTTATGCACCCAGGAGCTGTACTGGGGACAGGTCCTAACTTAATTCTGTGTCCAGACTCATTCTGCCTCTGGAGTCTGCCTAGCACTGAAACACCCGAGCATTGTTTAGATCCTAGAGGTGGTTTTTTTTCCCCACTATGCAGAGCAAATGGAAGCAGATCCAGCTCCTCCACACCCACAAGCCCAGCCCCTGTCCCAGCTCCCTCCCACCTCGGTCCATCAGCCATGAGGGGATGCTGCGGTGGGCAGCAGAGCAGCAGGTGCTCCTCAGCCATGGGATTAAATCAAACCCATTCACTTTAGAAGCAGGGAGTTAGCCAAGAGACGCTTATTTTAATGTTTACAGCATGTTTTTTCAATCAGAAGAGCTGTTGCTATCCAGAAGGCAGCACTTCATTGCTCTTCCCGTGCCGGGGCTGGCAGCACTGAAGCCATTTGCAAACACAGTCTTTGCCACTCGGAGATAAGCGGCAGTTGCTGTTTGCTCCATCATCCGTGTGCCATGGTATCGCTGGTGACTTCAGCCTCTGCTGAGAAACACAACGGGGTTTGCCAGAGAAAGGATTTTCTGTGTGGTCTGTTGTTGGCCTCGGTTTTTTCTTCTTCTCTTGGCCAGGACTCAAGAATTTCCTGAGTAACTTTTGCAGGGACTCTGCTCCAGCAGCTCCACAACAATATGGTCTCTTTGCCTTTTATGCCATAAATAAATCTGACAATCTGCCAAGGAGGAAGGGGAGAGGAAGCCAGGGAAAAGCGAGGCGATGGTGTGAGGAATGGCTTTTGGCAGAAATGCCTGAGCGAAAAACAACAACGGGTGCGTGGACAAAGGAGCACTGAGAGCCCTGGGACAACCAGCGAGTCCAGCATCTCTGCTTTTACAGGCACCCTGCAAAGGACATGCTCTGGATTCCCTTAAACCTTCCCCTTAAGGTAAGCCTTAAACATTCCTAAATAAAAAATGTTATTTAAAAGGTATGGAAACATCCAGTAATTCGTAATGCGTTGCTAATACTGGGTGAATACGCATAGGTGGGACACCAGGAATCTTTCTAACAGGCTGAGTTAAGCTTGTGATTAAGCTTAGTGACTACTTAAAGGTGACAGAGCCTTTTTAACCTTGCTTGGATATGAAATAACACACCAATGGAGTTCAGTTTGTAGCGGAGGTGTATTTCCAGGCTTTCTCAGGGTTAAGAGGATGCGGTAGCTTCTGCTCAGCTCAGTATTTTGAGTAGGATCCAGCATGTAAGAGAGGCAGATTT